TCTTTCTTTCTTTCTTTCTTTCTTTCTTTCTTTCTTTCTTTCTTTCTTTCTTTCTTTCTTTCTTTCTCTTTCTATATTTATTTGTTTATTTTAAATAAAATTTACTTTATTTACTTTTTAAGGACTTGTTCATGTTTATAAATAATGTTATTTATTTATATTGTAGTTTTATTTTGTGACACTTTTATTTTGTTAAGTTACTTTCCTAATGTAAGGGGCTTTCTCCCTTTTAATTTCATGCTGCCACCGTATATTTTAATTTTTCTTGTTCTTATATGCAAATGAGGGGCTGAGTTTTCTCTGTGGGTTGGTGTTTAGGAAATTAACTGTTTCACCGCCAGAGGAGGGCCACCGGCCTGCTTGGCAGGTCTGCATATTAAAGTGTTCAGTTGTATAAATAAAACACATTCGTATATGTCCATAAATGAGTTGTATGACTGTCATTCTGTGATCATAAAGACTTTGCAGAGGTACTTGTTGTAGCTTTTGGCCAATTAACACTGTTTTATTAAATAGCCTGTATTCAATCCCCCACACGCTTGCTTCCATTTCTCTCAATAAAAGCCAAAAAAAAGACAAATTTCCTTCCATTAATGTGTTGTAAGGTTGTTCTTCTGTGAGCAGAAAGGGTTTTCTAACTTGTTTTTTTTTTCTGCCTATCGACAAAATCAATGCTTTTCTCTCACTGTACTGATAATTATGACTCACATTAAAAATGGCAACCTTTTTTTTTCCAGACCAAATATACGGCGTCCAAGTTTTGTGCGGCTTGTCCATTCCTGTCTTGAGTTATGATGAAAATTAAAATTCATATCTGATCTTTTACACTTCTCACCAGCTGACTGCATATACAGTAACTCTACTTGAAAACAAACAACTTTACTCATAACTCTAGACAAGAATGGAAATAAAAGTCCCTTAAATAAGTAAAGTAGCTTTACAAAATAAAAATGTCAAAAAATAAAACTACAATACGAATAAACATAATTAATTAATCAATTAATTAAAGACATGATA